ACATAAATGCACTTACCGAGTTAGTTATCGAACCAAGAAAGCAGAGCTCCTCGTTCATCGATTGCTGAACATCTGCTAGATACGGCACATTCTGTGGACCCCAAAACTTCTTTCCAAGTAATTTTTTTCGACACGAACAACTCGTACCTTACGCTACCTGGACGCAGCCTAAATACGGCAGTTTAAACCTGACCTATATAAACATTTGATGCATGTTTTGAACTTGACTCTGCCGTGATAACACCGGCTCTATGTTTACACATTTATCTTCCCCACTTTTTTGCTCCATGTTTGCTGCCCACAGTGTTTAACTTTATTACGTATTTGATTAGCCTCTTGGCCATTTCCTATGACCTTGCTGTTTGTATCGATATTGAAGTATGAATTCAATTTTGTATTTTCTCTTACGTTATTCGTGTTATGCCCCCGCTGAAAGGTAAGCTGTGTTCTAATTCCTGATTCTCGTTCACGTTCTGGTTTTCGCTATCGTTTCTGCTTTCGTTCTTCCTTTCTCCCACTCACTCACTCTTATTCCTTTCCTCGTCCTTGCTTTTTCGCTCTCCCTGTTTCTTCTTACTTCCTTGTATTTTATTTTCCCTCTCTGTCTCCCGCTTCTTCTCTCTTTCATTCTCCCCCTCTCCCTCGTCCATTGCCCTTGCACAACCTGCTCTACCATGCTCATCTCCGATTCGTTTTCCTTTTCAGTGCCGCGCCCATTCCAATTCGGGCGGCCGATAGCCAAGCGGTGACCCGTTGGTGGTGGTGGGGGAGAGAGTGTAGTCGACGCTTGGACACCGCAGTCGGTCCAGTGTGTCTTGTTGTCTGAAGTGGCTGTCTGCGGGCTGAGGTTCAGATGTGGCCTATACGGTGTTCCCTCTCGGAAGCCTCCCTAGCGAGACGTACTGTTGGTATGGGTGTTGAGTGTTTTTCGTGCCAGCCGTCTGCGCCCTCCCACATTTCCGGCCTTCTTGACTTTGTCTTGACAACCGGTTCCCAGTGCGGGTGTGATCAGAGAGTGTTGCAGACCCGACGAGTCTACCTTCAGCTACCGTCACCACGTACATCAACCCGTTGAAGCTCCTAGTTGATATTGTCGAAATGGACGGTGGAACTGTCGAACTCCCGTTATGCCACGAGAGGAAGCAGCTGGTGAGTTCTCTCAAAATTAATGGATCCAATAAATTCCGCTGTTTCCGCAACCTACAAAATTGCGCCAGGGAAAATGTGCTTTAAAAGACTTCTTTAACATCGAAATCGGGTAAATTAGAAACAGGCGTTTCAAAACACACATCCAATTTTCCATGAGGACCTTTAAGTTCTACCCACAAATGCTGACGCATAATAAATTCCTCCGGTAAACAGTTATGCTTTATTTCTTTAAACATTCAAAATCTTTAGCCGAAATCACGTAGAAGATGGTCGTAGCCAGGTTCAAATGTTTCCCTGCATTATGCACTCTTCAATATTCGCATTTTATGGCGTAACTGAAAGAAAAACGACCTTACAGAGCAACAACGAGCGTATATATTACGTTATTAGTAATTCTTGGTTTTGCTAAATCGGTGCGCGTAGGGTTATTTTTTATTGTAGAAGGGTTGTATCCATATGCACATTTTACATCGAAAAAATATTGTGACTGCACCCCAACGAAAAAGCACGAATAGACATAAGTGCATTCAGACTAATAAATCATTAGTCACCGATAAATGAGCAAGTCCTCTGCTAAACTATGCGTTACTCATCGACTGTCGACACACGAATGACTCCCCATTGTTTAAGTGCACAGCGCAAAACAAAAGAAATATGTGCTTCTTTAGATTTCATTTCTATTTGCAGAAGGCAATCAGTAAATCCTGTCCTAGGTCTTAACCTTTCAGTGAAACAGTTATACAGAAGAATCAGTCGCCTTACTAAACAAATTAATGTTTCGCTTTATCGTAGAAAACTGTAAAAATACCGAAATTACCAGTCTACTCTTTCAACTCAGTAGTTGTTTGGCTTTTTAATAAAGGCTCATAAATGCAGTCCCCAATTAACGTCTTAGATATTTAATTTTCAAAAACATTTTTAATACGCACTTTCTCTTTTTGATATGAGCAAAAAGCAATCATTTTCCGCGCGCTCTAACCTTTCGTTTAGAAACCGCTTAATTTAACGCGTCTCTCTCATCTATCAGGTGCCCCATCACCTGACCCTGTCGGCATTCTGAAAACTCAATTACAACTATAGCTTGATGCGTAAAACAAACATTTCCCGCTCGTACATTTAGAAGAGCAATTTCGTTCACCCGAAAAAGAAAACACTTATATTTAAATTCACGCTGAAAACGTGTGACGAACGTACGTTTGTTTTCAATAAACTCTCTTCAGGCCTATACATCCATTGCGTTAATAACTAAGTCAAATGAGGGGGTTGGTAGACAATTCACGCGGTTGTCAGGCTCAGGCAGGGAGAAAAAGTTGGGCTCAGCAACCTTCGCGGCGTCAGGGGGAATGGCAACCGAGGGCAAAACAGCTTATGTAGGCCCACTCATATATTCCAAGTCTCAGCATTTTGTCCTGCAAAAACTGTGGTTGTAGAGTTTTGGGGGATTGGGAAATAGGATAGGCAGAGAAGAAAATTTTTAGAAGTCTAAACTGAAAAAATGTAGTTGAAGTTGCATGCCGCGGCCGCTGGGAGTAAGTTGTTCCACATGTAAATGGAAGGTGTGTGTGGCGCTTTGCGCATCGGAGTATACTATTCTAACTCCAGAACGGTAAGTTGGACCTCAGGTAAGTTGATGTAGATGACCTCCTAACCACCGTTTAAATTTTCCGGAAATTTCAGGAGACCTGTATTTTGATAATGGGGGTTTTCCGCAATAACTTAAACAATAATATAGATTTGAAAACTCTACATATATAAATCAACAAGACTTCTCAATACAGA